GATAAAAGATTGGAAAGACTCTAGGAAAAGATAAAAGATTGGAAAGACTCTAGGAAAGATTAAAGATTGGAAAGACTCTAGGAAAAGATAAAAGATTGGAAAGACTCTAGGAAAGATTAAAGATTGGAAAGACTCTAGAAAAAATGAAAGATTGGCAGAAAATTATAATTATAAAAGTGGAAGAAAAATTCAATTTTACATTTTCTTTTAAAAAAGAATATTTAAGATTTATTTCTACATTTTATGTCTTGATTTTTCCTTTTCTTTGTTTATACTGATACATTAGTTTTTGCAACAAACTAAAAATTTATAATCCGTATATTTTTGCAACCTAATAATGTAGACTATTTGATCCTACAGAATTAAATCATGGATACGAAAAGATAGGGATTAGAAGTTAGAAGTCTTAAGATGCATGCATGCATGGCCCTATCTAAACCATTTGGGTAAATTAAAGGGGCCCCCCCAACCAGAATGGGTTAACAAAATTCTATTAAAAATAAGAATTTGTATTTGATGAAACTCCCTGAATGGTAAAGAGTGCATTAAAGGTATAATTCCTTCCTTTAATTTTTCATTTTTCCTTTAGATTCTCCCCCGGGGGAATATAGACTTTACAACTTTCCCCCATAATCTCTTTATCATAAATCTACAGTAAATTATCGTTTTAGCTGATTTTTTACGGTGCTCCGGATGTTTTGAAGGCAAAATTAGTCTTGGGGGTCCTATGTAAGTTATAAAAATCGAACCTTAGATATGAAAAACCATAAGTTCCTTAAAAAGTAGTTGTAAATATTTATAATTCTAATTAGAAAGATGTTTTTTTTTAATTCAAAGGAATTGGCAAAATAATATAATAACATAAAAATCACGTCGGGGTCACCAATTTGGCTACGCTAAATAACAACTTTGAGTCTAAAAAACTTTATTAACTAATTAAAGAACTAAATTTATGTTTTAAACATTGAGCTATTGTTTCAGCTGCCGCTGACGTGAAATCCTGCTGCTGCCCTTTGCCGCGTCCCGATATTCGGACTAGCTTGGAATCGTCTTCCGCCACAGTCTTTTATTTGAGAAACATTTGACCAGCAACCATTTTTTTCCTCAACAGGGTTTCTATTTTTAAACTAGACATTTTCTTGCTTTTCCGGCCCATTACTTTTACAGATTTTTCAACAAACATTAAACCACCCAGGTACATCATTGGCGAGAAAAAGCTCATGGTTATGG